ACTACCTCTTCATATCCTCCACCATTACTGTGGCATTAATACTTGGTGACCTTTCGATTCTTGAATATGAAATGCAATTTACAATTTGAAACTTGTACACGATTGACGACGTGGAACACTATGGAGCTACATAGAACTTGTAGTGGGGTTTAGTTTTATAAGATATATACATACTCCCTCCGTTACTCAAAAAAATGACGTTCTGGCTCCTATACGCAAAGATGCAAAAAAACGTCGTTATGGGTCCAACTACGGTTTTGTGGACGCTAAAGCCCCTGCCCCATCGATCCATGCATCGTGAATTGATGACGGGACCGTTCGTTCCTCGATGCCGCAACAAACTCGATCTCCTCGATTCCCATCCGTGCCGTTGGCCGCTCGCTCGCTGCTCTCCACTCGCGCTTTAAAGCCTTCGTTCTTTGCTGGCCACCGCCGCCGCCATGGATCCAAAGATATCGCCGCTTCGTGCTTTCGCCGCTTCGCGCTTCGCCGCCGCTTCGTGCTTTCGCCGCTTCGCCGTGCCATGGATCCAGCGCCAGCCAACTCATTGTCGGAGGAGGTGGTGCCGGACTCCACGCCGGAGTCGCAGCAGCCTTCGCCAGACTTCGGAGATGGTGCCGACTCCATCGAGATGGTGCCGGACTTCGAGATAGTGCCGGATTCCTTGCCGCGGCGCTTTTATATGCGGTAGATGTCATCTTGGGTCGTCGTCAAAGCAAATCCAGCGTTCCGTCGTCGCCGTCTTCTAATCGAACGTTGAGATCAAACACAACATCAGCCATGTGATAGCTCAAATAAGAAGTGAAGAAGTGGCATGAACAAGAAGAGCGATGGAGTGAAGAAGTGGGGTGAAGAATAGAAGAGTGGCGCTTTAATAGAAACTCGAGCAACCCAAACGTCATTTAATCTTGTTAATCCGAACAAAAATTGACCAGAGCGCGAAAAACAACGCGCCCAAACAACCTCCAGTGCGCCACGACGAAAAATTTTTCATGAAAACTTGCGGCGGGGGCGCCATCGCCTCCCACGCGCCGAGCCAAAATTAGCGGCGATTACGAATGCAGCGCGTCATGCGGCGTAAGCAGACCATGCAAAAATGCGCCACTAGCAAAAAAAAATCGCCCACCAGGCTTGAACCGAGCACCTCGGCCTTAACACGTCATTGCGCTAACCGTTTGAGCTAATGGATGTTCTCGTATAGCATGTACCCGCAAGTATATTTAATAGGGGCAGTGAGGGAAAACTCTACCCTAATTAATTACTCCTTGTTATCCTAAATGCTGTCCTAAACGTCATTTTTTTGAGTAACGGAGGGAGTAGATAGGTTTGTGTCCCTTAATTTAACTGAACAATAGAGTAGGTCACATTTTACTCACGCCCATATTCATTTTTTTTTATTTTAGAAAAGGCTATTCAAAAGTTTATCAGTCAGTTGGTCTCACTGATGGAGCCCATTTCTGCGATAGCCCAGTTTTGGAGCACAACAGCCCACGTCGTGTAGCCCTGCTAGTTATTTTGGCCCACGCGAGCCAGGAATATGGCATAGAAGTGGACCACCGCGGGCTGCAGCTGCATGGGGATTTTTTTTTTCTGGCTTAACCACTTTCGAAGATCGCATCTTTTTTTTTCTCAAATACGTAAAAGATTTACGTATCATTGTATTTAAGAAGAAGAGTTTAACCATACACACGACACGTTTCTAATGAGCGCCCTAAGAGATCTTACAGTTGTGACTGGACGTTCCTAGCAGACTGTTTCAAACTTCGATATTACATAAAAGTAAACAATTGAACTAAGAGCAGCGCAGTAACCTACGGAGCTGGGCGTCTCCGCTACTGGCCGTGCGACCCTGCTCCGTCATCCGAGAAGAGTCTTCTACCAGTCCTAGCATTGGTCGCCGGAACCGCCGTCCGATGCTTCCACTTTGCTTCGGCGTCGAGTTCCTTGCGAAAAAGTCGTAAATCAGAAACTTCTTTTGGACACGGATGAGATTGAAGCTGCCAGCGGTGCAAAGCCCATCCTCTACATGAGGAGCACCTCGACCCGCTTGGAGGTCGGAATGTGCGCCAGCGGCTGAGCGACAATTCGTCTGCTCCGTTTTGACAGGGGTTGCCTTATGGTTGCCACCTTCTGCCTGGGTGAGCTGGCGATTAATGGCGACATTCGCTCAAGCTGCACCTCCTCAGTGAACCGTGCGAGACGTCGGCTAGCCTCGCGTGGTATGGGTGTCGCGTCGCTGGGGTTGGTGCAACCATCTGCGACGCCAGGTGCTCCCGCTCGTGGTGGCGTGAGTTGTGGCGGCCCCTACACTGGCGACATCAGAGACAAGTCTGCCGTCCATCGAAAGCACCGTCGGTGAAACAGTGTCCGCCATCGGTGCTTCAACCTCCGGAGGGGTCGTAGAGGCGCGTACACTCGGTGTTGCTTACTCTCATTGGCCGACTCACGACGAGCGAGGCGGCGAGCTCCTCCAGCATCGGGTCGAAAGAGATGACCAATGCGGGAGGCCCCGCACTCACGCACATCGCCAACGCCAGCGGATCTAGCTCGGGGAAGCATAATGCAGCAGTAGAAGTAGGTGCCTTGTCGGCGTGGTCGGCAGGCGCACCCGTGCCGATGTCCTTCGGCTTAGTCTTGCGTCGCCGATGTCGTCGTCGTCTCCCACCGGCGCCCCCCACGGCCGCCGCGCTGCACTTTCGCCCCGCCACAGCGCGTCTTTGGGGAAGGGCGTAAAGGTCGTCGCGAAAGCGGAACTACCGTGGCGAGTTGGCACCCATCGCCGCCGAGGTCGAAGCAGTCATTCGCCTGCATTCCTTGGCGAGGTGTCCGAATCCGCGACTGCGCAGACAATGCCGTGGCAACCGACAAGTCGCTACTTGGTGCGAGTAGGAGAGGCAGTTGAAGCATCTGCCGTGAAACTCTGCCGGGATCTTCTTGACCTGCGAAAGTTGCTTTTGGCTGGAGCGAGGCTCCGTCGAGGCAGCAACAGATCCTGTGACCTGCCGGGGGAGGATCTCATGCCACCCATCGATGTTGGGGGCGGAGACCCGTCCATGGTAGCCGACGTGTTGGCGAACAGGGGCACGGCCATGCACTTGCCGAACAGGCAAGCCGTTCGTATATCTTCTCATGATCATCATGGATTTTAAAATTCCCCACTTAATATAAGCGCGTTCGTATATCTTCTCTTCATTCAAGCGTCAGTCTAGATCTGACTCAAGTGCCATTTGTGCATCTAATAGTCCGCATCTTCTTGCACGAAACTTAGCGTCAGTGTAGAGGAATCGTCAGCCTGTTCGGGAGGCTGTATCGTATCGTGGATTATTTACTGCTGGCTGGTTTGGTGTGAGAGAAAAACACTGTTCCTGGCTGGAAATTTACGATCGTTTACGAGCAAGCGAACAGGCTGCGTGATTCAAAAAAAAAAAAAAGAGGAGAGTCGTTCTTGACTGGGATCCGTTATCTAACGGTGCGTTTGGCTCGCCAGATTAGTCCGTCCGTCCTACAAAATATCGTTTTGTTTGCGTCACCCTGCCATTTTTTGTTTACTCCAGCAAGCCAATCTGAAGAGCCGGTTCATCCCCTGGAAAAAGTGACGGACGAACTAGTTCTGCATGAACCTATGTCGGACGGTGGTAACCCTCAAACAAGAGACCGTGCGGCAGTGCCGATCGGACCTGGCTCTGGCTAGTCCGACGAACACGAGTCCAAACTACCAAATACATACTCTGTGTTGTGATCCTAGTCAGTGACAATAAATATCTAGGGCCCGTTTGCTGGGAGGAATTTGGATGGTTTGGAGAAATACTGGAGGAATTTGGATGATTTGGAGAAAAACACTGTTCCAAATAAAAAAAGAAGCAAATCAAGCCAAGTTTAAGAACACGCAAACGAAGCCCTAATCCAAACACCGAGGTATAAATGGGATTGCTCCATTAATTTCTCTTCGCCCTTTCAACCAAATCTTACTTAAAGATACACTAGCCCGAACCAGCGCGCTACGCTGCGCGGACTAGGAAGCAGCACGTGATATGCGAACATAGTTTTGAACAGTACCTTATGAACAGTATCGAATAGTTTTGTTTTTGTACTATAGGTGCTGATTTTGAAGATAAGCTTTCAAAGATAAAAATAAGTTCTTGTTTCTTTACTAAAATGGCTCGGCAGTTTGTTTTAAAATTGTTTTGATTAAACTTGTTTCTTTACTAAAATAGAATTAAGTTGATTTTGAATGACTTTTTAACTTCGGCACGACTCGTTAGATTATGTTAATTTCAAAAAAACCATATCAATTTTGAAGAAACTTTGAAAAGAAATGTAGTTGGTTCGCTATCCACTTGAGTTTATTTTTGTTTTTATTTTTATTACCAGACACCAGAGGTAAAAAAACCTGCATCCGTTGCTCATTTGCTCCTTGGTTTCGTCGGCTCCACCTCCGGCCCTTTACGCTGCCGGCCGAAGCTGACGGCCACCGCCACTGCCCACTGCCACCTTCCGTGCCGGCCGGAAGCGCAAAGACCCACCGCGCTCGTTGCCCATCTCAGGCCCGAGCCCTCGCCGCCGCCATCGTCACAACCAGCGGAGGCCAAATCCATGGATGCTTCCTCCCCTAACCCTCGTCGTCGCCGTCGCCCGCGCATCTGAGGCCAAGTCCACGGGCCGTGCAAGCGTGCCCCAATCCCGGCTCCCCACCAATCTTCTCCTCCGCCATGGAGGTCCGCCCGGGCTGATGCCTGATTCTCCATCTGACGCTCCGCGGTAAACCCTTGCCCCACTGCTGGTTGGGGATTGTTCTGCTTTGGTTGAGGTATTGGTAGGAATCCTCCCGTTCTATCGTGTACTCGTACGAATCAGTGGGTTCTGGGCGACAGATTTTTGTACCTTTGCCGAAAAATCATCTGTCCGTCCGTCTGTCCGCAGGTCTTGTGGAGGAAGATCGGGGCGAATTCCGGTGGTGTTCCTGTGGCCCTGAAGGGCCCCTGACGCATCAGTGGCGAGCCATGGCTCCCGCTCCAGCGGCCATGGATGTTGACGACGAGGGTGCTGGTGGTGGAGCCAGGAACCAGAGCACCATGGTGGTGGTGAAATCTGACTGCACAAACACTGACCCTCTGGTGGTCGGTCCTGAACCTGTGGAAGACGAGGGAGGTGGAGGTGATACCACCGAATGCTCGAGCTCGTTTGGCGACACCTGTTCTGGATTTCAAGATGCGGCAGGCGATGGTGAACCAGAAGTGAATTCTGGCATGTCTGCTCGTGCCGATGGTGGCAGGCCCTGGAAGCCCCCTAGGTGAGTGTTCTGTAAGTTCCTCGCGTGCCCTGGATGCTATTGGTCTCATTATTGTGTGTGCGCTCATGGTTCATGGAAGAATGAATGGGTGTAAGATTATGCTTGAGCACTAGGCAATTACGGAGTAGGTGCTTATGTGAGCTCTGCTGAATTTCATATATTCAGATTCACTTTCGCCAATAAGAGACGGAGACATGCTTCACATTTAGAATTACAGTGTTTAGTTTTCCCGCTCCCATGCTCCTGTGATAAGATGGAAGGTTGTAGTGGGATTTCAACTGTTATACTATGTTATACTATGTTGTAATTGGTGCACCTTCCTATCTGCGGAAGTAACAAGAAAAGTAGGACCATCAGTGTATCTGAAACAGAAACAAATTACTAATTATTCAGTAACATAATGCAGAGTCTTGTATGCTTATTAATTAATTAGTACCTTCTTGCTGAAATTTTCCTTTTCTGGGCCACGTTTCAGTCATCATTTATCTATATACGAAACTTAGGAGGTGATAGTAGCACCTAGATTAAAAGGCAGGTATGATTTCTACCCAATTCTTCTAATCACGATAGAAGCAGGTGTCCACGGCCAGGAAGTTATGTGTTCTGTCCTAAGAAATGCCACACCACTTATGACTATGACTAACACGATCCGAAAAAGCAATTACTGGATACTCGTATGGTCTTCTATTTGTCAAGTCGCTAATTAAAAAGACAATTAAGCAGATGATAGCTTCTTCAAAAGTATTGTAAATTTATCATGTTGGTTTTTCCACCAGGACTTTGGTTAAAACAACCTGGTAGATTGATTCCATGATAATCTGTCAATCGTGTAGTGGACGAAAATACTAAATATTGACACAAAGTACCAGTATCCTTCTGGTTAGAGAGAAAGTCCTTGGGGGTTAGTATTGCCCTTGTTTCTTTTTGGAAAAGTTCACCTAGGTGTTTTACTAAATGCTACTCTATATTTTAAGCATGACAGTCCGAATTTGCAAAAGAAATTCCTAGCCTGGGATTTGAACCCACACCAGCATTGATGATATTTATTTTTAATGCTGTAGACCATTATAGGTTCATTTTTGTGCGTGTTGGGAGACATCGTATATTTTCATGCTTATTGCCTTTCTTTGAGAGTATGGTTTTTATTTCTGATATTCATGCTTTAAACTATGATGTGTAGCCAACTAGCCATGAACAAGGAAACCTGTGCTACTCTTATCAGTGCTTCAAAGTGTTAGCTTACATATCATTTTGTGGGTATAGCTAGAGCCTAGAATATAATTGGAGCAAGCAGCTACTTTCTATGTTCTTATTACATTTTGTTGTAATGTTTTATTCTGATATCCTTCATTTTTATGCAAATTTTGTGATATGTGATTACTCTTCATAAGGAAAAAAGGTGACGGCTGAGTGGAGGAATTATGTTCGGTCCAATTCTGTGGAGATGCCAGTGGTTAGAGTTGCGTATGAGGGAGCTCTCATCTCAAGTATCAAAGTATGACAGGGAGCTTGCTCTAAACAAGAAACAAAAAGAATTACAAGCAGCAAGCAAAGCAAATGGTTCTATGTCAGAATCTATGCAGATTCACAAAGGTCATGGAAACAGTATCATGAAGAGGACAAAGCGGAAGAGGCATGAAGAAAATTTGGATACTCCTTTGTACATCAACAAGCACCAAATATTGTCATACTACCATGGTCTGACATCCAGTTATGTAAATCTTCTTTTGTGTAGGGATAGGGCATCTATTTATCCATGGCCATGTCAATTCTGCACCGGGTTTTGTTGTTAACGACAATAATTCTTTCAGTATTTTGCAGATAAACAAAATAAGGGAGCTGAAACTGATGGTCTCTTAATTGATGAGGATTGTGGTAGTACAGGTATGAATGTGCCTATCTGGTCAATTTTTTCAGTGAAGTTAAAATGGAAAGCACGGTTGTTATGACCGGCGTCCAATACTCCAGGCGCCGGCCCATTAGTGGCTAATGGCGCCATCTGTTAGGGGCTAGCGGCCCAGGCGTCATCTGTTAGGGGCTGATTGCCCAGAATTAGCTATTTTATTTATTTCCTCAGATAGAATATTTAGTCCTTAAATATAGGATCTTATAGATGGAAGCTAGGAGGATAAATATCTGTAAACATTGATTGGAGAGAATTAAGCAAGGCAACAATTTAGTTGCTCGGCTTCCCTGAAGCCCTAGCCGCGCCCTCTCTTCCTCCTTGGCGCGGTGATCACCATGGCGCCGACTCGCCGCCGTCGCTTGCCTAAGCCTTGCCCTCCGCTCTTCCATCCCTACAACCTCCGTAGCAACTCTCGTAGGATCCCTAATCCTATCAACGGTATTGAGCAAAGTTGCACCATTAGATTGAATTAGAAGTTAACCCAGTTGTGAGAAAAAGCTTGCTCTTGTTAGGAATGCGTTTATGTTTTAGCTGAGGCATATGCTTGTGTTTTAATTGAAGGCCAACAATTAATTAGTCACCAAGTCTTTAACCATATGAACGCTATCAAAGAATTCTGAGATGTCTAATATGACTTCGGTTCCACAGAGTTCTTAATTCTTACTATACACTCCATCCCATTGTTTTAGTTTTCATTGGACTATACCAGTCTCCAACACACACCTTTGATTTTTGCTTTATTAGTATATGTTAATAAAAATATCAAAATTGTAATTGCTTGAAAGCACATCACTTGGCAAATCTACTAATGTCATTTCAGGTGACAATCTTGCTTACGTGTACTTGGTCAAGTTTTAATTCTTAAGTATCTGAGCAAATATTCTCTCCATCCAAGTATATAGGGTGTATTTTATTTTAGTACAGTGTTCAAAACTAGGCTTTTTTTATATCAAAATTAAACTTTGACCATTATTTTCTGTTTCACAATATAGTAGTAGTGTTTACACTTTACAGCTATAAAACGAATATAGTGTGAAAGCACTTTGAAATATGGATGTAGCTGTATAGTTTGTGCCTACATAATTTGACTAAGCGTAAGTCAAATTATACAAAGTTTGAATTTTCCATAAACATAAATACCCTACATAATTTGAGAGGAACTAATTTGTATAGCCGTATGATATAATGTGTTCTGATCCTCTATGATTTTATTAGATCTTATGGTAGCATTCCTATTTTTGGGTAGATCAATGAAGTACATAGCTAGTTGAGGTTTAGTTAAATTGACCATGCAGAAACTGCAATTCATCTTTATTCTCTGCGTAGCTAATAGTCATGCAAGAACTATCTATGTATTTGATTCATTCTAAATGCAGTTCCTATCCGAGGCGGACTTGACAGTGTTACATTGCTTGATTCCGAGGATTATGATGTGATTTTTGAGCAACTCTCTTTAAAGGATATTCTCTTGACGATTGATGGGGTTCAGTCTCGAGTTCATCTGCTTCGAGGTCGTCTCAGCAAGGCTCATTATGAAGGAAGAAATTTGGCATTTTCTGAGGGCAATACTCATGTCAGGGTGTCTCCGAAGAGACAGCATACTCAAAAGCGCTCATCTTATACAGAATGTAGATATACTAAACCACAGAAAAAGAAGAATCTAAATGTTTTGCTCAAGGATGATAGTGGACCAGCTCTTTCAGGGAGACCTTCTTTGCCTGACAAGGAAACTGATACTCCTATAAAAGATGCAGATAGGATTGCTGAAGAAAGTAGTGGAGAGGGCAAACACTCGAGGGAGAAAGCCATAACGATGGACCTTCTCTTGGGTATTGGCAATTACATACCAAATGGTTATATAGAGGATTTATGCAAAGAAGTAAGTCTTTGATCCTTTGCTTATTCTTATTCCTTTAATTATTTAGGGCTTGTTTAGATTTGGGTTGATGCTTTCAGAGTTGCTACTCAAGCGTTGGAATTTAAATCCTCATAAGCACAATAGGCTTTGATTTATAAAGTCCCCATTTACTATTTCTAGAGAAAATAGTCAAACATTATACTCTGAAAAAATATTGTAGGGATAGTTCCTTTACTTGTCTGTGTTTAAATTAAAAAGTGTAATACCCATGTAAACATATGCTGTTTTTTTAAAAAAAAATATATAAAGAGATTCTGTTTCCCCACAAGAACTTAGAATTTTAGTTATATGATTATATCTTGGATATGAGGTATGGGGCTTAGAATTTATTAGGATGTTGGGTTGTTTGTAAATCAGGTCCATCCAGAATTCACTACCGGGTGTGCATTGGTAGAAGATATCCCTAGTGAAATTTGCAGGTTATAAAATTGAAGGCATGAGGATGGCAACGTGACAAAGCACTTCAATTTTAACTTTGTTGTGCAAACTAACAAATATTAGTAATTTAGTATGTTATGTTTCTATGTATGACAGTTTTGAAAGCTTAGTGATACTTGTGGATCTGTGGTTATGCCATATTGACTATTTCACTGATTTTGAACCACTTCCCAGAAAATGATTAACGTGTTTGCTTCTTGGGCAATACATTTGCACTGGCATTTACTTGACTGTTTCTTTTTTGCAGAACGCTGACGATATCCTCATAGACAATCAAGCAACTAGTGATGTCTGTCAGCAGTTTGACAAGGCCAAGCATCTGCCTTCTGGAACTTCTTCCAAAGAACAGAACGTTTCTGCTCCAGTGGAAGTGAAGAACACTTGTGCTCCAGTAAAAGTTGATAGCACTTCTGCTCCAGTGGAAGTAGATACCACTTGTGCTCCAGTGGAAGTACATACCACTTGTGCTCCAGTGGAAGCAGATACCACTTGTGCTCCAGTGGAAGTACATACCACTTGTGCTCCAGTGGAAGTAGATACCACTTGTGCTCCAGCGGAAGTAGATACCACTTGTGCCCTAGCAGTGGGGCAAGAATCATTTGTTGAAAAGTCACCCTCGAAGGAGCCTGTCTCTTCTGGGAGCAAACAGGAACCGAACTCTAAGAAAAAGAGGAGGAAGAAAGGCTCTTTGTTTACCAGGAAGAAGCAGAGGAAAGAGGCGTCCAATACAGCTGCTGCAAAGGAGAAAACTGAGGGCAGGCCGTCAGCTGCAAATACCCGAACTGAGAGCACACCCTCTGCTGTAGCAAAGCAGAAAACCGAGGGCACATGCTCTGCTGCAACAGGGCCGCAAACCATGACAGCTCGCTCTGCTGGAAAGAAGCGCAAATCTGTAAATGAACCTGCAGATGCAAAGGAGCATGGATCTGGGAACTCATTCTCTGCATCGACAGAGCAGACAACTGGGAAGCCATCCTCAGCAATGAAGAGGAAAGAGGCATCCGAAACATATGCTGCAAAGGAGAAAACTGAGGGCACGGGCACGCTGTCAGCTGCAAATACCCAAACTGAGAGCACACCTTCTGCTGTAGCAAAGCAGAAAACCGAGGGCACACGCTCTGCTGCAACAGGGCCTGAAACCATGACAGCCCGCTCTACTGGAAAAAAGCGCAAATCTGTAAATGAACCTGCAGACGCAAAGGAGCATGGATCTGGGAACTCGTTCTCAGCATCAATGGAGCAGAAAACTTGGAAGCCATCCTCAGCAGTGAAGAAGCAGAAAACTGAAAAGTCGTCCACTGCTGCAAAGAAGTATGGATCTGGGAACTCATCCTCAGCATCGATGGAGCAGACAATTGGGAAGCTTTTCTCAGCAGTGAAGAAGCAGAAAACTGAAACCTCGTCCACAGCTGCAAAGAAGCATGGATCTGGGAACAAGTCCTCAGCATCGATGGAGCAGAAAACTGGGAAGCCATCCTCAGCAGCGAAGAAGCAGAAAACTGAAACCTCATCCACAGCTGCAAAGGAGCATGGACCTGGGAACTTGACCTCAGCATCGAAGGAGCAGAAAACTGGGAAGGTATCCTCAGCAGTGAAGAAGCAGGAAACTGTAAGCTCGTCTGTAGCTGCAAATAAGCAGGAGGCTGAAAGTGCGTCCTCAGCGAAAAAGAAGCAGGTGACTGAAAACTCATCCTCCAAAGCGAAGAAGGCAGAGACTGCTGCGAGTGCTGCGACTGCCCCCTCGAAGCTGCAGGTTGAGAAGGCTGTGCTGGTGGCTGTAGATAGCAGGAGGAGCCAAAGGGTCCGGAAGCCCAAAGTTTTTGCTGAATGATGAAGCAGAGAGACTTCCTAGGGTCCCTGATGCATGTGTATGTCTGCCGCCAAATTTGGGGGGCAATATTTTGTTCCTATATATAGGAAGTGCTGGATCCCGCAGCGTAAGTGTACATATTAAGTGTGAAAGCAAGTCACCCAAAGGGTAGGTAGGTCAGTAGATCAGTATGTTGGTTATTTCTTTTTAACCCTCTCTCCTGGTTCTGGGGTAGCAGACTAATAGTATCATGCTGTGTAGCCTCTATATCGAAAAAGAAAAAGAACTGAGAATTATGCCGTGTTATTGCAACTTGGCTTGCTGCATATCAGTGCCTTCACTTTATGGTGTCCCCGGGGTTTGATCTTTCAAATACCGCTTTGATATGGATTCGTCTTTGCAACTAAACGGCCTGTGCTCGCGATTCCTCATGGAGTCATCAAATGGAAGACTGATACAGAGGCATGGACTTGCCAGGGTGAGCTTGCAGTTGCAGCGCTGGGTGGTGACTGGTGAGAGGAACACTGAATATTAATTCTCCATTGATGAACACACGGACCTTCTTGTCCATGCTGTCATGGGAATAGTATTTGCAGAAGATACCATGGTTAATCGCGATCCGTTCACAAACTTGTTCCAAACAATTTTCAAACAACCAAACTTCTTCCAAACAATTTTCAAACAACCAGGGTGTTTGGCAGTTGTTGATAACTGGTGGGCAGTGGCAGGTGTTGGCCCAGCCCAGGAAGCCGAAGTGGCAGGGTGTTTGACAGGTGTTGATAACTCGTGGGCGGTGGCAGGTGTTGGCCCAGCCCAGGAATGGCAGGGTGTTTGACAGGTGTTGATAACTGGTGGGCGGTAGCCGGTGTTGGCCCAGCCCAGGAAGCCGAAGTGGCAGGGAATTCTAAAGTGAGATCAATCAATTTGGGCTGCAATTATAACTATGGCCCTCTTTGGCAGGCTCTTGCTGGCTCCAACTCCATGCTACAGTGCCAGAGAAGCCGGAGCTAGATGAGCCAGAAAACGTGGCTTCTTCGGTCTCCTAGTTCATTTCATGAGTTGAGAAAAACAGCTCTCTACTACAGTAGCTGATTCCGAAGGAGCAGGAGCCACCGGAAGGCGCTTTAAGGAAACACACATTTTTTTTAAAAAAACAACTTGTAAGTCATGGGGCAATACATCTAAATTTTTGTGGTCCTTGGGGGGCCCGGGAGGCGCAGGCAGGTGAGATGGGGCGGGTCTCCAACAGGTTGCCGCGGGGCTAAAATACTGGAGTGATAATGTCCTGGGTGACTTGGAGAAAAGGATGAGAAAGGCGAAGAAGGAGCTAGAGAAGTGGAGGCGCGAACTGATCAGCGATCTTTCCACTAGCCGTGAGTCGGTGTGGACTTTCAAAGTGGATAGATTGGAAGAGCAAATTGATTTGTACTGGAAGCAGCTGAGTTGATGTAAACTAGCTCCGTTTTGGAGACAGAAATACTTCCTATTTTCACAATGCTTGCTCCGTTTTCACTCGCATCCAGCAAGGGGAGAATTCGGCTAGGGTTTGGCGGCGCAAGAGTTTGGGCACAAGGAAGTGCAAAAGCGAGAAGGTTGAGATGCAAGGATGGGAGGGTGAAAAGTTTTTACCGCACGGCTATTTATTTACAATTGGAATTACGGAGGTATCTTCTCCTGGAAGTAACTGTTGTGCCGCCAACGGGCAGATCTTTTTTACCGTTGCAGACGCTAACGTGCAGATATTTTTAACCGTTACGGATGCCAACGGCTGGATTTTCCACCACGCGTCTAATTGAGGGGTCTGCTATTGATCTGACCATCAATTACGCAGTGGTCAGCGTTCCAGAGTCAACAATGGCACAATTACTCGGATTTGTTACAAATTAGTTATCTTGATGAATGTTAGTCGGCCAAGTAAAGATTTCATATCAGATTTGAAGATCATTATATGGCTTAGTCGGCATTCCAAGATCAATACATGGCTTAGTCGGCCATTGCCATGCGCCCTGTTTGCTTGGCTTATAAGCCGTACTTTTTCAGCCAATAAACAATATTTTTCTCTCACAATAAATCAGCCAACAGTACTTTCAGTCATTACTTATCAGCCAAGCGAACAGGACAATGGCTAGGTCTCAGTTAATCTAACCAAGTTTGGGGGCTCGCATGTCTGGAATATTATCTTAATCAAGGATGAAAGACTAAATTTTAAAGCTCAACTACCATTGGTGGGTTGATAAGCTCGTCAGGGGTATTCAAACCACTCAATGACAAGAGGTATTTTATTATTGACTTAGGGAGGTTACTCGTTAGCACCCATGATGTCTAAGACCCTATAATCGACTCAGGGTAGTCGATTTTAGGCTCGAGGGCTGCATGCAGAACATATGTCCTCAGCGGATGCATTCAAATTTCTTCGAAAAAAGGTTGGGAAATTGCCGAAAAGACCCTCAAGCTCTTTATGCTAAACAACACGAGGCTCGGGGGCTACACTGGGTGCGCTTTGCAAGAAAGATTCAAAGAGCACTTCATGGCTTCTCTCAAGAAGACTACTCGGATGCTACTTGATTCTACTCAGCAATGACATGGAAATTCAATAAGACTTCAAAGTTCAACCATGAAGAGCTCGGGGGCTTGACGGACCAAGATCCTAAGGGTTCCCCATAGGGCCGACTACCCGGCAAGTAGATGGGCCAGCCCACGGTCTGCCAGGAAGGCGCGAAACAAGGTGGCATGGCTTCCCAGGCATGCAAACCGACCTAGTCGAATACGGAAAGTCTATCTCTATAATAGGATTAGAACTTTTCTATTGTAACCGACTAGGACTAGAACTATGCACCTGCCCTCTGCATTATATAAAGAGAGGTAGGGGCACCCTCTTGTAATAGCTAAATGGCTTAGCCGGCTATTTAAAACATTGGGTGTGCTAACTTATTTGAGCATGAATGAAAAGTTCAGATTATATACACGACAAGAGAAGCATGAGGGTTTGCATAAAGTAAAAAAAATATAGTTGGAAATACTCTTTCAATTTTATGTCCGAACTTTACACCAAGACTTACAACCTATTTCTCCCTCCAAGTTGGTAAAAGAAGTCATTTTGGAGTTTGGACAAGGTTTGGATTAAACTAAGGGAATATAAATCATGAATAACTTTTAAGTTGTTAAGCTTGAAAATGTGAAAACCACATGGATAGATTTGTCTTGAAAAATATTTTCATAAACATATATATATAACACTTTTCAATACGTGTCATTATCCAAAACAACTTCTTTTACCAATCTAGAGGGAGTTATGATAACCTAACGGCTTACAGTTTGAAGAAAAAGAAAATTAATAAATAAAAATATGAAAAGAAAAGATACAGGAAAAAATTAAAATGAACATGAAACATGAAAGAAAACCACTGGAGCGTAAATTGAAAAGACAAAAACACAGAAAAAAGGCATGGGAAAAAGGAAAACAAAAAGGAAAATGGGAAACAAATGGATAAAAAATAGAAAAATGGTACTTCTCCGAAAAGGGCTCCCCAGATGGGAGTTTCTGCTCGGTAGACAGAATGGAAAAAACACGAGAAAAAATAGAAAATAATGAAAATTAAGAAACTTTTCGTGGTTTGGTATTAGGAATAGAATTGCAAACATGTCTGTGTGTTACAACAAAACCCAATACATATTGGAATCAGATTACATATGAGATTACGTAACATGTTTAATATTAGGTTGGTTGGTTCTTCTTAGCCCTCTCTTTTGGTTCTGGGGTAGCAGACTACTAGCGTCATGCTTTGCTCCGTATGCTCGATTATGCACGTATCGACTTAGAACCGACATGAACCGCTCGTAGGACCACATTTCATGCAAGTAGCAAGGGCCCAACGCCTGTATCTAATGAACCATGTGAATCATGAGATGTGGCATTATATCAAAAAAGCAGGAGGTAAACACATCTCCAGTTGGTTTTGTGTCTCCACCACAAATTCATGTAGGTCACTCAGCTCTTGCTTGCCAATCGTCTTCTGTGAGATCTTCGAAAAGAAGTAGCACATGCGGGTGATGGTCATTTTCAAGAACTCTGGCTTTATAGCCCTGATTGCAATAGGTAGAAACACTGTCAGCATCACATGGCAATCGTGAGCCTTGCAGCGTGTTATTGACAAGTCATTCATCGACACTAGCTTCTTCACATTTGCTGAAAACACAGTTGAGACTTTGATCCCCCTCAGGAAAGTGCATATAGCTCTCTTCTCGTCTGGTGTTAGGTCAAAGCACGCCGCGGACAGAGTATATTTTCCATTAGCCTCAGGTACCGGGTGAAGCTATGGCATCACGTTTAGCTGCACCATATCTTTCCTTGCTTTCAGACCATCCTTTGACTTGCCTGTGTCCATCAAGGTAGCAATGAGACTCTCAAAGACATTCTTCTGCATGTGCATAACATCAATGGCATGGGGGACCTCCAAGTCTGGTGAAAGGTCCTAATGGCTAGAGGGGGGTGAATAGTCTAATAAAAATTTCTACAACAACACTTAACAAAATGGTTAGATAATTATGAGACAAAGCAAGTGTTGCGCTAGCCTACTAAAAATGCAAGCCACCTACCACAATTCTAGTTTAGATAGTATATATCCACACAATAGCTACAACACTAAGCTAAGTTAATGTGCTCTCAAAAGCTAACTAAAGAGTCACATCAACCAAACTAATAAGCTCTCACAACTAGCTACACTAAAGAGCTTATCAACTAGTTTGCGGTAATGTAAGAGTGTGAGCAAGATTGTTATACCGCCGTGTCGTGGAGAGAGCCAATCAATCACAAGGATGAATAACAATGAAGACCGATCACCTCGGAATCAAATGATGAACACAATGATTTTTACCGAGGTTCACTTGCTTGCCGGCAAGCTAGTCCTCGTTGTGGTGACTCACTCACTTGGAGGTTCACGCGTTAATTGGCATCACACGCCAAACCCTCAATAGGGTGCCGCACAACAATCACAAGATGAGGACCACACAAGCCACGAGTA